CAAAAGATTTCTCTTTTTTTTTTTTTTTTTTTTTTTTTTCGGCATCACCATCCGGGACGAGCGCTCTACTTGGCATTGGCACGGATGAAGATATCACATATTATTTCAGTTCGATGTCCATAGATATCGAGGATATCGAGGCGGGTGTAGTGGTTGGGATCCGTGCGTGGCGTACGCAAGGATTGTGTGGTGGGAGAAACCCCCTGATGACGACCACCTCGCGATGGTCGAAACCGGACGGGGAGCCGCTGTTTTGGATTGTTGATACCAATTTTCAAAATCTTACGTTTTTTTTGTTTTTTTTTCTTACTACAATCTTGCTGTCACGACGCAAAATCTGCTGTGTATGCACAGAGTGTGGGTACATGCACAGATGTGTGTGACGAATGAATGAAGGCTTCAACTACTTTAACCTTTCTTACCTTACCTACATAGATATATCGAAGGCCGGTCAGCAACCAGTGTTGCTTGTACTCTGCGAGTGGGACCTCACTCACCATCGGACATCGTGATGTTCGAGCTGGAAAAAAGAAAGAAAAACTTGTAAAGAAACTTCTGTTTTTTTTTTTTTTTTTGTACACCAAGAAAAAAAAGAAGTCGTCCACACACCACACACTATCTGACAAGGGCAATCGGCGAGGGGTTGAGATGACGACCATGACGACGACGAAGATCACGAAGAGCAAGGGGAGGTGATTACAGTAGTCAGCGAGTAGTCCTCGCTCCGGATTGTGACGTTCCAAACTGTGTAACCATCTTCAAGCGAATAGAATGTAAATGTACGGTCATTATCGCTGAAATGTACGGTCATTATCGCTGAAATGTACGGTCATTATCGTTGAATTGTACGGTCATTATCGTTGACATGTACGGTCATTATCGGTGAATGTAGACAGAAAGTGTTGCCCTCAATCCGGGCATAGTGACCGTCCGTTACTACGCATTCTATTCGGGGGAAGGGAGGTAGGAGCTATAGGGAGAAACATGCGCAAGGTGACTGAGGCACACTCTCTCACACTCTGGACCTCGCCACGCCACTTTTTCGAAACGACGAACGTTCAAATGCATGTTCCCACAGAAAGTGTCAAGATGCATCCGTTCCTAGGAATTGCAACAGATGCATGTCGCCACTTTTTGGGGAAGATGCACTCGTGCTTTTTTTTTCGTTTCGTAAGAGTGGTGGTGTGTGGCATTACTAGGCCCTCTAGCGGTCCGGAGAATTACATACACACTTGTCAGCCTTGGAAACGAGTGCATCTGCCCACGAAGGGTGACCAAATACACTCGTTATTACTATTTATGGCAAATCCGGCAATGGGCTTTCGGTCGCAGGTTCAAATCTTCTTGCGAAATACGATCGCGAGGTGGGTGGGGGTAAAAAATCAAATTCGGATCGCTGCTGGAGGGGTCGACTCCTCTTGGCCGCTGTTTGTTCTCTTCCGACTCCCCCCCTTGCCGCTGTTTGTTCTCTTCCCCGGAGCGGAAAAATTACCGCAGTCAGTTAGACGGTAAAAAAGATAAAAATTTAACTCATAGAAGTAAGTACACAGACGTGCGACGCCCAGTGCAGGCTGATGATGTCTCCTACGTACGTAGGTCTCCGCGTAGAGATTGCTTACCGTCTTCTCGGTTGGATACATAACGCACCCTGATTCCGAATGTATACAAGCGATATTTCTGGTTGGATGCGGTCCTGATGAGTGAGGGTGCGTTGCGTAGCGCGGTGTCTGCCACGACGTTCGTCTCCGCGTGCACATTGCCGTTCTTTCACCGCCTCGACAATTTATTATAGGGTTAATAGCAAAAATATTGCTGTTTCGAAGTTTGGCAGCAAAAATGTCGTCCGTTCGAAGTTTCCTATGCAAATATAGAGTTTCCGTTGCAGCTTTATCGGGTTCCCATAGTTTGCCAGCAAAAATACCGCGTTTTGCCCAGTTTCACAGCGAAGGACCCCTAGGCCTCTGGCCTCAGGGAGTCAGGGACTCAGCTTTCTGGCCTCAGGCACTCAGCGTGCTTTTTTTTTTTTTT